ACCCACATCCCAAAATCCCTAGACCGCGGACGGTAAACGCAACACTGTTAAAAATCATGACTTAACGCTTAATTAACAGATGGCGCTATACTACATTTAAGAGAATTAGCTTTCCTCTCTTACTTATCTCTTCCTAAACGTTCTTTTACTGTTTGTTAACGTTTCGCTGAGAACGTATTATTCTCGTGAAGCGTGAACCACGTTTCGTGTCGTAAGACTTAAAGGTAAATATACACATTAAAGTATAATTTAAAGAAATAATATTATGTATTATAACTACATAACATTTTAATTAATCAAATAATAGAGTTGAATTACAAAATAACGTATTACGTTTTAAGATGTTTTACGATGCGATTCATACCGCTAGCATTTATCACGTGAAAAGTTTATGCATATTGTCGAAAAAACAGAATAAAACGTTTATATTTTTAATATCGGTATTTTTATATTTTTATTCAAATATATATGTGCGAAGTAATAAAATTTATAGTATTAATTTAATACTCTAACGGTGTGTGAAATCTAAAAAGCAATTATGGAAGTAAATACACCTAAAGACAGATTGTATTTAAATCTGTTCTATTTAAAGTTTATATTTAATTTTTATTTTTATTTAACAATTACTATTTTGCTACTTTATTTGAAAATTTTATTAATATACATGATGATTAAAATAATCACCATCTTTCGACTGATCATTATGATGGTATATATTTTTAACTGAGAGCAATTGTTTAACGTAAAGAATACTTTGTAAATTAATCAAGAGATTGATACAAATTTTTATACTTTCCAGAATGCGTTACGTGGCCGCTTATCTTTTGGCTGTCCTGGGGGGCAAGCCCTCAGCTACTCAAAATGATATTGAAAAAATTTTATCATCTGTTGGAATTGAAGCAGATGCTGAAAAACTTAAAATAGTTATATCAGAACTAAATGGAAAATCAATTGATGAACTTATCGCACAAGGTATGATTATTTCTTATTTTTCTATCACTAGTTTACATTAATACAATATATTCACAAACTTGTTATTGTTTGACATATTGTCTGAAATTTCAATGAAAGAATACTGAAATTAACCTTGAATAATTCCAGGACGTGAGAAGTTAGCGTCCATGCCAGTTGGTGGAGCTGCAGCTGTAAGTGCAGCTGCAGCACCAGCTGGAGCTGCTGCTGCTCCAGCTGAAGAAAAGAAAGGTAAAGTTTGCTTTATTTAAGTATTTTGTAATTTAAAAATTCTAGTATGTTATTAGAATTTAATTTTATTTAATTTTTCTTAACAGAAGAGAAAAAACCAGCAAAGGAAGAATCTGAATCGGAAGATGATGACATGGGCTTTGGTCTTTTTGATTAAATTAAATAACAGTAATAACTGTGTAATGACCATCTACAAATTATGTATAATACATTCTGACAACATTTTAAAATAAATTGTATTTTTAATTTACTATAATCAACTTTGTCTTTATTATAAACTAGTAGGTCAGTTAGTCGTTGACTGACGTCAACGACGATTAGGTTTAAAAAGACACTGTTTTTAAATTACTCATTAAGATTAAATTAAATGCGTTTCATTAAATAATAATATTGGATTTGGAGGAATATTATAAAAATGTGTGTGGAGGTGTAAGTATTATTATGTAGTTGTTTGTTAATATTGTTATTGATGTTATGGTGAAGCAGAAGAATCTACTAAAACAAAAGGTAAACAAAAGTCAGGAAGGGGATCTCACCACGTTCGCCGCAGCCAGACAACTTCTTGGCTTTATTATTATATAGAGATAAGAACTTTCAGCTTGGTTAGTTACTAATAAACCTTGATCAAAGGTTTGTAATTTAAAGTACTAAGTTTTGTCAGATATTTTTATTTCGGTTTGTGTTTCTTAATCGGTTTATTTGAAAAGATATTTACAATAATCCCTAATGCGATTATATAAGGCTCCCGTTATATGTTAAAAAATAAGTATTTATGAAGATACTGGAAAAGTATATAACAACATAACGTATACAATTGTGTGTCATTGTGACTTCATTTACAATCAAGCAATGGGAGAGGAAAATAGATGAAAGAGTTCAAGATTTATAATAAAATCCAGTTGCATATTCTAACCATGGATCTAGGAATATAGGGATAAAGAAGTCAATAAGAGAGGAGGGTTGTAATAGTCGATACACAAATTTGATTCGTTACTTTTCTGCGCATGTTTTGTACATACCGCCAATTCTCAGAAATTAGAAATCATCGATTAATACAGATTTATAGGTTAATGCCAAACAGGTGAATATTTTTTTAAGCGCACACACTATTATAAGTTTACAAATTTTTAACTTACAGATTTTTAAATATTCAAATTTAAGAATTTCGAAATTTAGAATTTTCAAACTAAAGAAGTTAAGTAATTTTCAATTTGAAGTTGTACTAAACGATAGCCAATTGAATCTGAGTATTCGTTTATCTTGTCCTGCAATGGCTTCCCTCCTCTGAAGGATATGCTCTGTCCCTATATTCCTAGATCTATGGTTCTAAAACTATTGAACGTTTAAATTTGTTCAATCGTAATGATAATCACAATCGATTAGTATTTTGATACTTTTGGTGCACGTAATTACTATTTTGATGCGTTTGCAAACGTTCGGTGATATCAGTATATAGAATCGATCGGAATACTTTTGTACTTGAAGAACTATTTTTAGATAGAGGGGCGGTCGTTGACGGCCATGATGGGTGTCAGCGGCAAGTAGTGACGGCATTCAGTTTGCGTCAGTTGGTTTTGTGCGCTGATGGTCGAGCTTAGATTTTCTGGTTGAGAAGCGCACCATAAGCCAAAACAGTTGTACATAGGAACGGTATACGGCCGCAATAGAATTTCAATTAACTAACGGCGGCTGTTAAAACCCTGAAAATAACACTGGAAAAATGACGCAGTTACTACCCATAAGGTTTCAAGAACATCTCCAGGTAGGTGACCTGCTTTCATGCCCGGTTCTTCTATTATTTCGACACGTCGTCAATAAATCTCTTTTTGCCATTCGCATTTTCAATTTGATTTAACAGTTTTATCAGTTTTTTGACAAGTCTTCTTGCTATCACTTACTATTGTAATGATGAAGCGGAAGTTTTATTCAAATCTCCCAAATTGACGTTACTTTGACAGATATAATCTGATTTCATGTTTCTTCGTACATACATATAAATTTCCATAAATTTTTTAATATGTACGTAATAAAATGCGATTGAGGTTAACTAGTCATGGTATTCTATATAGTGAAGTCGGTGAGAAAAATAAATTGATTTTTTTTATCAATGAGAGCCACGTCTACTCAGCATATACGCCCCTTATTTCCGTCTTTGTACATCATGAATTTTCTAATTAAAATCTTTCATCTACGAAATATATGTTACACAGTAGTTCCTACAAATGGCAAGCTGTGATTTTTTACGAAATATATTTCGATATTTGTAATGAAATATCATTATGTATTTTTTGTTTTATATTCTATGTGAAATAAGTACCTTATTGAGTATTATTGAATATGCAATAGTCTGTTTTATTAAATTTATTTAAATTAATGGACAAGAGTTATATTTTTAATTAAAATAAAGGTACGAAATCCCTTAAAACAGGTGGTACAAGACAAGAAGGAATGGCTCTATACGAAAATATAAATCAAAATTGTAAAATAAATTTCATTCGTTTGTAAAGAAAATAATTTTTAAAATCTGTCTAATGCACGTGTATTTGTAACCGATTATCGAGAGCAAAATTTCAATTCATCGTAAAATTGTTTCTTTGCAAATACCGCACTAATAAAATAACTTTTCTTTAATTTATTGTAGTTCATGATTGATGATACCCGAAATATTTTCTGTGTCGTAAAATCGGAGGATATATAATTATAAATAGTAATTTTAGTTTTGTAAAGATGACGATAATTAACCTGTTTTCGAATCTTTAGATCCAATTGATTCTGTACAGCCATTTATTTAAACAAATTGCCTTGTAATATTTAAAAACTTAATAATAAAGGATTACTTGCATAAATTTTCAAATTAATTATAGCGACATACATTTCAAAAATTTGAAAGATTGCTTCATATCCTTAACATCCAAAGCAGAGTTAAAAAGACGTATTTCGTAAAAACGTTATCGGCAGATTTTTTTAGTACAATTTACCTGTTCGGAATTTTTGTATTTTACTGCACTGATATTAACAAACAATAAAGTAAAAAAAAATTAGCCGTAAATGAAATTGAATCATAAGTACGTTATAACATTTAGAATATTGTATACATAACAGATAGGTGTAAAAGGAGATTTTCTTGACATCAAGTTATGGTAGCGGACTGTGACGTTTCGAGCTAAGTCTATGTACATTCGGCAGATTTTGAAAGTCATTTTTTTTTCCAAAAATAAAAAATTTTTATTTTCTTATCACATAGAACAATTATTTTTAAGTTGTACTATCCATTTTGAAATATGTATCTTAAATACTCTTAGATTATACTATTCATTCTGAAATACCTTGTATTTCTGGTGATTAAGATGAATCATTATAACTGTAACTAAGTATAATTTAATATTGGTCTACAAATTCTATAAGGAAGTTTTCCTACTAATTATGTTATCTTGGATGAAAAAGAGATCTTTAGGAAGAGATTTTTCTACCTATTACTAACTGAAACAGTTGCTTATATCATATTAAAATCTTTTGTAATAATTTTACTATGCTTAATAAACTTTAGCTACAAAATACTAAGGTTAGTTAGGTAGGTTACTCTTTATTTGAACAATTTGTTTGAGCCATATTGTGCAATTTCCTAAATCATAGTAAATGTTTATTATAATTTAATCTGTGACACAATTCTGTTAATACAAAGTCCAGTTGCTTTTGTTATGTTTATAATCTTCTACTGTCAAATACAATGTTTCACTTTATATGTTTTACTTCTTTGAGGTTTTATCTCTATACATGACTATATATTTGTGACTGAATTGATATTTATTGATTATGACAACCAGCATTAGAAATTAATGTTATTTTTATTCTACCACTATGTACAAAGACAATTTTGATATTTGAAGTCATCATCCTTTTTATAAAATTCAATCATTCATCTTTTCAAGCTTTCAAACATTATACATTTAATTATAACATGTCATACCGAATATATTTTTCCTATTGTTTGGAAAAAATTTTAAGTGATTGAGTTTTAACTTGCAGATTTGATACTTATATTTATTTTAAACAGATTGATTTAAGATTATAATAGACAAAAATAGTAAATAATAACATTATTATTTCATTAAATAAATGATTGGAAACTACATAATTAATTTATCTAACTACATAATTAATTGTTATAGCTTACAGCTGTTGGAATTAACGCTAACAATGTTAGCTTTAATACACTTACCATGGAATCTGATAAATTTATTTGCGTTCGAGAAAAAGTTGGTGATACTGCGCAAGTGGTTATTATTGACATGAATGATTCTGCAAATCCTATCAGAAGACCTATTTCTGCAGATTCTGCAATTATGAATCCTGCAAGCAAAGTAATTGCTTTAAAAGGTATAGAATAAAGTTTAGTCAAATAATCTATGTACATAATATATATATACATAATATATCCTTACACATGCACACATACGTGTCACTCAGATTATTAGAACTAATTATACCTAACAAAAAATGTGCCAACGTGCAATCATATCTATACTACTACCATCAGTACATTATATTTTTAATACTTGAAATAACACAGAAATTAAAGCTTCTTCCTCTGTAATACGATATGCTTTTTTTTTACAATAGCAATGAAAACACTTCAAATTTTCAACATAGAAATGAAATCAAAAATGAAAGCTCATACAATGACAGAAGATGTAGTTTTCTGGAAATGGATATCTTTGAATACGCTGGCATTAGTAACAGAAACTGCAGTTTATCACTGGTCTATGGAAGGAGAGTCAACTCCAAACAAAATGTTTGATCGACATTCTTCACTAAATGGCTGTCAAATAATTAACTATAGAACTGATCCAAAACAAACATGGCTTTTATTAATTGGTATTTCTGCCCAGCACAACAGAGTAGTTGGTGCAATGCAACTTTATTCTGTAGAAAGAAAATGTTCTCAGCCAATTGAAGGACATGCTGCTTCTTTTGCACAGTTTAAAATGGAGGGAAACGCAGAGCCAAGTAACTTATTCTGTTTTGCTGTCAGGACGGTCCAAGGTGCAAAACTCCATATTATTGAAGTAGGTCAGCCTCCTGCTGGTAATCTTGCTTTTCCAAAAAAAGCAGTTGATGTTTTTTTCCCACCAGAAGCAGGAAATGATTTTCCTGTAGCAATGCAAGTCAGTTCAAAATATGATGTTATATATTTAATAACAAAATATGGTTATATACATATGTATGATATTGAATCTGCTACATGTATATTTATGA